GAATACAACATAGCGGAACATTTAAACAAATATTTACAAAGAAGCCAACAAGAGTAATAGGAAAGTTAGCCATTGAATTACATGCTTTATTAGGAGAGTCTTTTCTTCACTTTCTTCCCCACCCCTTTATATGTAAATTTAGAATTAAAGATATTGAGGACAATGTCTAATTTAACTTTGGGGGTGGAAAATATGAGTTTTCATTTTTTTTTTATTTGTTTTTGTGTACTTTTATTATTTTAGTAAAAAAAAAAAATCTTTATGTGCTTGTGTAAGTTAGTTGACCTAACTAACAATGATGAATATATTGAATCATGAATTGATCTATGAATGGTAAATAAGCTGCATGGTTAGATTAATTTCTATCTTTCCATATGAAATTTGATATATATTAATTAAGTTAAGCATTGTGTAGGAACGAGTTGTTTCATAATTGAATATATTGAAATGTGGACCATAGATGCTAAACCAAAAACCACTAAATTTTACATTCATGGACTAAATTTAGAATAGTTTGGGGGATTTCACTATTGTAGGAAGATGTTGAGATAAATAGGGAATTCATGTGTGAAATTAAAAATCTTGTGTAGATTGTCTAAAGTTAATATGATGCAATTGTGTGAAAATCTCAAGTTAAATGTCGTTTTACTTGAATTTGTGTTAAATTAGGGACATTGCACTAATCATGGCATAAAAAAATATGTTATTAAAAAATTTCTCTTCATAACCTTTATGACTGGAGCATTTAAGCTTGTAAGGGTTTTTAAAATCAGGTGCCCTATGATCATCTAACTTGGGAGTGATCGGCCGAAAGTTTATTACATGAGTCAATTAAAAAGTTTAAGGAATAGAATGTTTCAAATAAAGGAAAAAACTTGTTCTAAAAAAAATTCAGAAAAAGCAGATGCATGAAACAAAAGACGCACTAAATGGCTTAGTTAAGTCTCAAACAATTGTTTAATAAAATCTGACTTTAGATAAGAGATTGTTACCCTAATTAAGTTTTAGAGATTGAAACAATCAAATTTAATGGAGAATCCTTATTTATTAAAATGTTGAACTGCGATTGATGAAATTTTGCCAAACAAGAGAGGTGATGATAGTAAAAAAAATAAACCTTAGTTCACACATTGGAAAAGAGGGAAAAGAATAAGTTTGGGGGTGTGTGAATCTTACGAGTGATGAAAGAACATATTTAGCCATTCAGGGTTAGAAATTGAAACAACTTATGAATTCATAATGCTATACTTAATTCTTCACACACAAACACGTCGATTGTACATTGAAAAAATGGATTTTAATTTTTGTATTGTGATTTTGAAACTATTCATAAATTTTTTATCGTGAGTTCAATCCCGAGATAAAAAGTCTGGTTAGCGAACTAAATCTTTTTGTTTTACTTGATTGATTGGCCACCAATTAAGTAATTAGCATGATATGTTTGTGTTTTTGTTAGGTTTTAATTTTGTTTGAGGACAAATAAAGATTCAAGTTTGGGGTGTGATAAGTGTAGTTTATACACTTATTCGTGGCTCTAAATTATAATATTTTATTGTCTGTTGGATTAGATTTCACCTAATTTATGTTATATTGTGTTTTGTAGGTAAAACTTTATGTTTAATGAAGAATTGGAGAAAAGAATATAAAAGTGGCAAAAAATGACAAAATTTAAAGATGAAACATTTGAGAGAAATATTACATTAAATGAGTTCGAGTTAAATGAGTCTCAGTAGACATGTATTGAAAATTTTAATTGGAAGCCCAAATTAAACCTATATATAGAGCATGCTTGGCTAAACTTAAAATCCAATTAAAATTGAAAATATAGCCGTTATTAGGTTTCACTCGTCTAATAAAAGTCAACAATAACGGCTAGTTTTTCAATTTTAATTCGATTTTAATATCTACCGAACACGTCCTACATTTAGACCTATGTATAGATATAAGAGGACGGATATAAAAGAAATAGAAGCAAAAGAGGACTGCGGCGCTGTAGCAAGCATGAAGAAGAAAAAAAGAAAAAAAAAGAAAAGAGAAAGAGAAGAGAAAGAAAGAAAGAAAAGGGAAAGGAAAAGAGAAAAAGAAGAAAAATGGCGGAGAAAGAGAAAGAAAGAAGAAAAGAGGAAAAGAAAAGAAAAGAAAAGAAGAAAGGCAAATACTAGAAATTTTCACGTTTCGTCAATTTTTCGTGATATTTTTCCACTTTTGCGTGTTTTTATTTTTACAATATGAATAACTAATTTTATATTAAGGAAAATAATGTAGTTGACTTGTGATCCTTTATTTTTCTTTTTTTGTTTTATGTGATTTATTCTTATATGTGTTGGTTTTATTATGAGTTTTTTTTTACAATATGAATAACTAATTTTATATTAAGGAAAATAATGTAGTTGACTTGTGATCCTTTATTTTTTTATTCAAAATTTATGTGATTTATTTATTTATGTGTTGATTTTATTATGAGTTTAACGCATTAAATTACCTGATCAATAATTGATGATTATGTGAGTCTTTTACAAATCAAGATGTGAGTTTGAGATTTAGACCATATAGTAAAATTTGGTAAATTAGTATAACGTGTAGAGATACATATACTAATTATTGCGATCATAATATGAATTCATAGAACTAGTATTTCGTTTAATTAAAATTGATTCACATAGAAATATATAATTAAATTAGTTAAATATGTTCAATGTGAACTTGAGAGGGGTAAATTGAATACAATAGAAAAATTCAATCGAATATTAAATTAGGTTATGAATCTTGAATTAAGAATAAAAGAGATCAATATATGAAATTGTTATGCCCTAATATTTAACACATATTTGAATTTTCAATTATCCATTGTTTACAATCATTTTATATTTTCAAGTAGTTAAAAGTAATTAGAAAAATAATAACCACAATCATCATAAATATTTACTTGCTTTTATCAAATAGGAGTTGAAAAAAATTAGATTAAGCCAAAAAGTATAATTCTTATGTGAACGATAATTGTGACTCAAATATCCATTATATTATTTATTACTATATCGTACACTTGCAATATAAAAAATACAACAATAAAATAGAGCAAAATAAAAGAAGAGAATAGAGATAAGTCAATAGACTTATGTATTTTATTGAGAATCAAAACCTCATATTCATAGGGAAGGATTATAGATACAATTGTAATAATTTCTAGGGCTGTAGTGATACAATTTTCATTCATTAATAAACTTACCATTTACAACAGAATATTCTTATTTAAACTATTATTTAGTGTAGGGGTGTGCTAAAGAAAAATGTAAGTAAAATTTATATGTTCAGACATATTAATTATATTTTCTTTATCTATGTGAAAATGAAAGCAGAGGGGTGCATTCAATTGTCTTTTGAAAATTTTTATACTTTTTTTAAGTAATGACTTTTGTAAATTTCGTGGACTTTTATAAAATTGTATGAAATTAATTGAAGTACTTCATATATTTATATATACTCTCATTTTAAAACTTTTATAAACTTTTGTAAATAAAGAAATATATATCAAAACGTCATACATTTAAAAAAGAAATAACTAACCAATATATTTAAAATTTAATTGAAAATTAGTCTTTTTCTTAATATAAAATTTAATCATAAATTGATCTTTTATATAAAAAATTGGATGAAGAAAAATAAATTTTTTTATAAGAATTTGTAATTACAATTTAATCTTTTTTCGTAGAAAATGATGATAAAAAATAAAAAGTGGAAAAAGAAAAAGAAAAGGGAACAAATATAACATGCAGAAGAAAAACAATAATTTTTTAATTCTGTCTCTAAGTTCGTAGAAGGAGAGATAATATTAAAAGTACAAAAAATACATATTAAGAAAAATATTTTGTGAAAGTCTCTCAAAATTTTGGAGCGAAATAAGAAACATTTTTTGAAATTTTGTTTTTGTACTTTCTCCTTTAAAGTTAGTACCACATAAATTTTTATAAGAGTTTTTGAAAGTCACTCACATTTTGAATACTATATGATTTATAGAGATTTTTAAAAAGTTTTAATTGAATATATCGAGACTTTTAAAGACTATTTAAAAGACTATAAAAGTCTCTATTGTATACACACATTTGTGATACATGTACATAATGGTTTATGTAACGTTACGTACACATGATATTGTGAGATATAATTGGATCAGAATTTCTTCAATCAAATAAAAAAAAACCTTATTCACTCTCTTTTTGACACATTATCTGTATGTAAGACGTTATTTAACTCAATTATATACAAGTACCATTATTCGTATACACTAATACTTTTGGAGAGTGGTAAAAAAATCTACATTAAATGTTCATAAACTTATTTAAATCCTTAAAAGTCTTTAAAAATCGCAATTAAATACACCAACAAATCTATATTTATAAGACGAAAGGAGTAATTCTCTCGTCAATGAAAATGTAAGATAATAATTAATTCGATTGTCAATTGTCTTCTTTCTTTATCTAAACCTTTGGCCATTTATCACAATTCTTAACCTATTGAAATTTTGCCAAAATTCTCTTAATGTCAATGATTAATCGATCGTTGTGATAAAATCGACCATGACCTCTATTTTTGATGTTCAAATTCATTAATCTTTGTTCGGCTCTGTTTGGTCCACGTTGTTTTTTTTTTATTCTCATTCTTCTACTCATTTTCAACTACATATTTTTCAATAAAATAATATTTTTCATCACATCAATAAATCTTCCTTCTTTTTTAACCACATATTCTCCATCACATCAACAGTAAAAATACATTCTTACCTTCAAAATATGAACCAATCGGGGGCTTCATTTTGCAAAATTTTTGACATTTATCGCATCACAACATTAAAAGAGAACGTCTATGAAATTTAATATCAACAACAATAATAAAAATCACCGTATTTTTATGTTTTTTGTTTAAATAAAAGGAATAGAAAAGGAGAAATATTAACGAACATTTTAGCTTTGATTAGAAAGAGAGGAGAAAAGATTCTTCTAGAAATGCATAATACCAGCGTACATCTTACGCAAAAACGTCATTACTAACACGAACTTTAACCTTGTTTTAAGAATATAATAATAATTAATTAGACAACTAATAAGATTAATGTCCACTAAGATTTCACTATACGGCGCCGTTGCGCAATCATAGTTTCACACGCTAGCAGCTGACCTGTGTTTTGTTCTGTTGACCAATAATTTCCCATCACCAGCTGTTCCGTGGACCCCACAGTCCCCTCCTCTATATAAATACACCACCAAGGAACCCTTGAACCTCACACACACAGTTACACTTCTATACACAATTCGAGCTTTCTGTGAATTATTATCCTATTCTATGGCGCAACTTAGCATTGTGATGGCCTCCTTGCTAGCATACGCCCTTGTGGCTCTCTCCGTCGCCGCTACCACTGTCTCTGCTCAGGCACCGGCGCCTTCACCAGATAAAGGAGATGCATTCTCTTTGCCAGTCTCCAGCGCCTTCATCGCGACCTCTCTTCTCTTCTCCGTTTTCGCACTCTGGAGGCACTGAGTTGGATCTCGAGTTATTATTCCCTTTTTTATGCTTCTTTTCGTGTATGTTGTTTCAGTGATGGATTTGTGTTATGAAGTAGAATATATGAAGTGAAGATTATTATGTGATTTATTGGGTTTTAATTCTTCTGTATGCATTCAGAGTGTGAGGAAATAAATTTATTATTTATGTTTATTCATTTTGAGTATTTCTCTTAAATTAGATTTCCAACTTTCAAAATGGCAAATATTTGTACATTTTTACGTTTGCCTTATTGTTCAATCCACCAATCTGGATCGAATCACAGCAAGTTTAACACTTTTGAGCAGTAGTATTGATTCAATCCACCAATCTGAAATCTTCTTTTCTTTAATTTACATATTCAAATTGAAAGTTATGAGAAATTCATTATTGAACAAGAAAATAGGCACAAAATGGTTCTAAATATTTGGTTCAAACGTTTCAAAAGAGGCATCAATGACCCATATTCTTTTTACATTTTGTGAGTTGGATGCAATTGCTCTTGTTTTATTTTTATTTGAAGGGATAAATGTGTTAAATCAAAAATAAAATAAGTAAAAATTTGATAAAAAAAAAAATGAAGTTTAATCATCTTTCACCACTACGTCATCAATCCTAGTTAAATCCAACCTTTTTCCCTTCGCCAAAACGCCGCCCGCAAATGCACGATGAATCTGTAAAGCCCTTCGTGCCGCCCTCTGCCTCTCCCCCAATCTTGAATATTTCTTCCTCCTTCAACTTCCAACGCCTGTACTCAGGCGCGAATCCAGGGCCCTAGTTCAGCTAAGGCGGACGGCGAACATTGAACGCTTACGGTCAACGTCAGTGATAGAGATATTGTTTATTAATATTTAATTCAATAATATTTAAAAAATCGTACGGACTAAAACTAGAAGAACTAAATACACCACTAGAACTAGAACTAGGTACCAACTTTCATTGGGATGAAAAGATCGTTATATAATCTGGAAAATGTTTTAATTTATTTTTCAATCAAACATGCAATATATGTTAACAAAATATCAATATTCAGTTTACAATTGAAATTAATTAAACAACTATTATTATATTAACAAAGTTGAAATTATTTATGTGCTTATATCAGTTTTATGTGCTTGTGTGATTTCACTTTTCTGCAATCGATTTTTTTGTGAAAGAAAAGTGGAACTTTCTATTAATTAAATAAGTTTTGTTGAAAGTCTTCTTATGTGTCAATTTTTTTCACAAATTTATTCTTCATTAATTGACCAAACTCTCAAATAAATTGATTAGAGAAAAAAATAATCAAGAAGAGGGACAAAGCACCGGTTAAAATGTTTCTATTTGCATTAAAATCGGTAAAATGAATATATATTATTTTGTTTCATTGTGTGACAAATTAATGTTTACCATGATGGTAAATCTATCAGTATACTTTAGCAAAGGTCACGTGTTTAAATTCACTTTGCACTTGTTTTTGGTAAAAAAATGTTTACAAAAATTACATAACATATTGGCATTGGAAAGTTAAGAACTCGGGACCTCTGGTTAAATAGAGGAAACGCCAGCCAACTGACATAACAAGGATAATTATAAATAAAATGAAATATCAGATATATAATATAAAACTTTTATCTATTCTCAACAAAAAAAAAATCTGACGGATCCAGCTAGGGAGGCTGCTCGCCTTAGCTCGCCACCCGCTAGATCCGCCCCTGCCTCTACTCTCTAGACACTCTTATGTATATGTATCAGTCGCATCAAGAAAACATTCGAATTACAAAATCTAATTACCATATATTGGAGGTGAATTTCAGTTTGGACCAGATTTTAATCTAATTTTAGTATAAGTCAAAGTCAAACAATGAATATCAATCACATATTTCATGAGTCCCACATCTTTTCAACCACACATTTCAAAAACTTCTATCACAATTCACTTAAAATCTGATTTTAATTTACACCAAACACCCTCTAAAACTCGTGAAGTGACATACGCCTATTTTTCCAAAAACTTTCTTTTTTTCAAAGTTTTATTTCAATCACACATTCTCCTATAAAATAATCTTACACATAAATTGATTTTTTTTTTTCAATTTGTAATCATATTTTCCAAAATATCACCATTTTAAAACACCCTCAAAAATGAAGTAAAACAAGAGATACAAAAGGAAGAAAGTACTCCCTCCATCTCATAAAATATAGTAATATACTTACCTTTTTTTTTCATGTCTCAAATTGTAAATGGAGTATAATTGATTTATTATGCCTCTATTTAATATTTTATTATTATTAACAAATATAAATTATTTCCGATTAAATTAATTTTCGATGTAAGGTTATATTAAGCCCATGTTTGACACTAGGGCTGGATAAAATTCCTGAACGGAGTCGAACCAAACCGAACCGAATTGAATTGAGCGGTTCTTTATAAGTTAAATATCCGAACGAATATCTGAATCGCGAATCAATGGATTTGGTTCGATTCTAGGTTCTAGACCCAGAACTGAAAAATCGAATTAAAATAATTGTTTTAATTTTTTATATTGAATTAATTAAATTTTTTTAAAATTTTTTCTAAACAAGTTAGCAAATTAACCGATTTGGTGATTAATGTTTTAACTTCCAAGCCAAATCCATGCCTAGCTAGCCCAACCCAGCCCAATCCAATCCAATTCAATTTCTAAATTCAATTTTTTGATTTAATTTTTTTGTCATATTATTAATTTCATTCTTAGCCCAAGATTTAGGTTTTTTTAAGTTTTTATCATTCTCTTTCCAATTTCACACTTTCATTCGGTAACCACTGAGTCAATGACCCCAAATCATTTCATAAATTGAAAACATATATCTACATGTCCAAATCGAAATCGCCGACTGCCGAGTTCGACTTCTCCTCTCCAATGCCCATCAAAGCCGCGACCTCCAACAATGACCACCGATCGTTGACCATTAAAAATCTGTTAAAAAATTTAATTATGGTATGGAATCGAACCGAACCGAATCGAACCGAACCCAAACAGTTCCAAACTTATATTTGCACCCAACGATTCTATTTATTAAATATCGAAAAATTTTGGTTTGGTTCGGTTCTCTTCAGAATCGAATCGAACCGGACCATGTCCAACCTTATTTGGCACTAAAATGCATTTTGGAATAATATTTTATTTGAGATGAGTGGTTAAAAAATAAAAAAAAAAAATTGGATTTGTATGTAAAATTATTTTATGAAAAAATATGTGACTAAAAATGAGTTTTAAAAAAATGAAGGTCAAACATATGCTAAATCCCTGTTTGAGAAATATTAAAAAGTATATTTTTGAAGAGAATAAGTTATGAAATAATGATTTTTTTTAAAAGAATGTGTAATTCAAAAGTAAAAAAAAAATTGTGTTTATGTACAAAATATTTTATCTTGTAAATGTAGTTGAAAAATGAGTTAAAAAATAAAAGAGTAAAGAAAATGGATGACAAACAATAAAATATAAATAAAATTTATAGTTTCAATTATATTATTTTTAATTTATATGAAAATAAAAGTTGGTCAATATTTGTTGAAGGAAAGAACGCTATGCTCCTATCCGGTGAGAATTAAAATCAGATCTCTACGTGAGTGCTTGGAAAAGGAGGTGGGAAATCAGGGGGGAATATTTGTATTTTTAATTTATATGAAAATAAAAGTTGGTCAATATTTGTAGGATGGTAAGAGCATTGTGTCCCCATCTGGTGAGAATTAAAATCAGATCTCTACTGATTACTTTGGAAAAGGAGGTGGGAAATCAGGGGGAATATTTGTGGACATGGAAATAAGAAAATCTGAGTAAAACTGGCGGCGAAATCAAGGCGGAAAATCCCCTAATTTCCGCCAGCAGCGCTGGGGCATGGGGTTCGGAGGGGAGACTTTCTCTTTCCTCTTTCCTCCCTCTTATTTTAGGTCTTCTGCTTTCAGCCTGTTTCAGCTTTATTTTTTGTCAAAAAAGTACTTTAAGAAGTGTGATTTGACGGAGATTACGTGATTGAAAAATAAATTTTTTTTTAAATTTACGTATAATATTATTTTATTAAAAAATATATTGTTAAAAATAAGAATGAAAAATTTGTTTTCTTTACTATCCTTTTGCACTACATTTTATGTTTTGTCTTTTTCTTTTTCTTTTTTCATATATTTGTTCCTTCAACTAAAAACAAAACAAAATTAATTGTATTCCATGCAAAAAACTAACAATGGTATCATTCAAAGGGACCATTTATTTCAAGATTGAAAAGGTTTGGGAACATTTGCACCACTATTGAAAGGTTTAAACCAATTATGTAATCTGAACAAATTTTTGAGACCAAATCCTTGCGCTAATCCCCTTAAATTAATCCTAGAATGTTAGTTAAAGACTTTTGCACCTTCTTTTTACCCTTTAGTACTATTTTTTAGTCTAGAAGCTTTTGAAAACAAACGAAAAATAAAATATGGAGATGCAAGTTAAATAGCAATAAAATCTAAACCCTTTTTCTTTTTTCAAACAAAAAGTTTTTAAAAAACCGATAATATAAAGCAGGACAGGTATTTTGTCATTTCAGTCGCGCTATGTGTACAAATTCACTTGACAAAGTTAGGTGACAAAGTGATGTGGCATGCATAAAAACAAAAAAAAAACTTAAAAATTAGAAAAGCCAATGTCCTTCTCTCTCTTCCCCATTTCCCTCAAATCAGAGATCAAATCCTTCCTCTCAAAATCACCTGTTACTCCGGCTTCATCCCCACCTCCGACAGCACCCGTTACTTCGAAATCATCCCCACCTCCGACGGCCGATCAACTCCAGCATTGTACATTACTCCCAGATCCGCATAGTTTTCAAACCCAACGTGTCAGAGACTTTCGAATACCACAAAGTCAGTTAAGCTCGCTTTAGTAGTCATTTGTCTTAAACATGACCACTTTAGTAATGTGCCAATTGAATTTTCCTCCTGGATTCTTTCTTGATCACTTCTTTTCTTCAGTTTTGTGTTCAAGAGAAAACTAGGG